AAGAGGAGAGTATGAAGGCTTGCTATTGCGCAACGCGCATGTGTGTGTGTGTGCAATGAGACACTTTAGAGGCACACTTTGCTCACACTCGCATGGCTTGCGAAGGGCAAGTTAGACTTTTTGATGTGATCAACGACCACGATTTGATCAAGTGTGATCAAGAGGCACGATTCGATCAACTGTTAACTACCTTTTAAACAGTCACAAATGTTTGGAATTGTGACTGTTCAAAGTGCTTTTCTCTGAACTAACACCTCTTCCTCTTTTACATAACTCTTCAAAAACTATTTAAGGAGTGCGAATCAAGCTTTCACACATAACATTTTTTTCGAAAATCACTTTCTCTCTCTCTCTCTCTCTCTCTCAATGCGGTGTGCTACAGTCTCATAGAAGGTTTCTTTGGTGACTCTTCAACTTTGTTGGTTGTATATTATCACCCAAGGCTCTGCTATATCCTGAGAACAAAATTGTCTGTAACCCAACAACAAGCTCAGTAAAACTGAGTGAGGACAAATAATATTTTAAAAACAATGTATTTAAATGTACCTCAAAACTTCTCTTCCAAATTTTAGTGACCCCATTTGCTATATCTTGAGAACAAAATTGTCTGTAACCCAACAACAAGCTCAGTAAAACTGAGTGAGGACAAATAATATTTTAAAAACAATGTATTTAAATGTGCCTCAAAACTTCTCTTCCAAATTTTAGTGACCCCATTTGCCAATGATATTTCCTTGTGACCCTTCAATGAAACAAACAAAGACGAATTTGGCATGAAAATAAATTCAAAACATCACGTGAACTGCATTTAAATTTCAATAATTAGATATGTGTTTCACTTGAGAGTCATATGGTGGGTGTATAGCTGACATGGACAGGGGAATAAACACGATACTAGCACAAATGGATCCCCATCTATATGGGGACCTTCTTTTCCACATGCCTCGGTGGTTGTAGTCTTGTGGAGGGTGTATGCGTAATGTGTGGCTGTAAATTTGGATTTGCCCATCTATGGTGGCCCTGCTGGGGTGAGGAGGGATGAGAGGTAGATTGGTCCCCCTCCCCCACTCACAATATAAAGAAATAAACAAATTAAAGTAAACGAAGCAAGCTTATTTGCAAAGTATGTATTATTAAATGATAATTACTGGTGAAAAAATTGGATACATATTTAGCATAGAAATAGAATGGACCATTCTAATTTCGATTCTGACTGCAAATCAAACATATCCTAATTCTTGCAATTCATATTGCTTCATTGATTTTCAGGAATTTTAAGAACAAAAGATGAAAAAAAGAGTACATAAGAGTAAGAATATAAACAGTGGGGGTGCGTATTTATCTAATTGGTAAGAATAGTGGAACTTAAGCTTGGAGGTAGGATGCAATTATTAATGGGCTATACAATGAGGGGTAAACCTCACCCAATGCAAGATTTGGATATACTCTTGCTGTTACTCACACCACATTGTAGTTATGCATTGAGAACATCTCCTGTGAATAACAAAATACATGTATGGGATATTCTCAATTTACAACTTGTTTTTTGAGGTTGATGTGAGAAATAAATCCAGTCACCTGGCGCCTCACATGCACTTCCTATATGACATGCATTRGAAACATTTCCCGTACTTATTAATTATAATTCATTGGAGATGTTCCCAATACACGATAAATATGCGTGTGAGGTGCCCATTTGTGAGGAGCAGATCCCATCAACCACCCCAAAGGTGGAACTCGATCAAGTATTCACTGCAAACAGTCAATAGTCAAACAAGTTAGCTGGCACGTTGATGGAGAACCATATTTCTTTCAAAAGATGCAATGTAACCCAAATTAGACTTTAGACCTGACATATACTTGACTGGCGCAAAGCAGGGCCACTCACCCATTGTCATCCATAAATTGGATTACAAAACTAAACCCACAATTCTCTTAGTCCTAAAAGCTGTTGTTTATTTGCTCCTTGTTGGGCCACGTTTCAGACAAAACACAAAATTAAGATTTTCATTTATTTTCGTTTTTAATTATTCTCTAGGATAACATGAATGGTTTATTCAGAAGTCCTTCGAAATGAAGAGTTCAGATCTGAATCACAATGGATTATTGGCCACGTTTATTTAGCTGTACATTGAGAATATCAGTGATTATAACACAACCGATGTTCCATATCTGTAAATGTAACCAATAATGTATTGTGATTAATAGATCTAGGCTCCTAAATAGATACAATCAATGTTCAAAATATCAATACATTCTGATGCAATATTTAGATTAAACTGAAGGGGTGTATCAGTATTTTAAACTTTCTGCTTTTAATTTTTTGAGCTTTTTTCAAGATTTCAAAAGTGAGTTTGATTTTAAATTTCTCATTTAGGGTTTAGCTATGGTACCAGAAAATAAATTATAACTAATTRACCGGTATCATGAAAGTGGTGACCAATCAGAATGATTCTTTTCAGAGGGAGGGTGGTTGATTGGTCAATGCTCTTCAGCCATCATAGACTTTCCTATTTAACCATTAAAAAAGTTTTCTAAAAATATATTAAAATCAACATATCTTTTCGAGAAGAAGACAGCATATCAATCAGATATATCGTATTGAAATTTTAATTTTTACTAATTAATAAATTAAATCATTTTGGAAAAATGTTAAAGGAAAATGTCGACAATCAATTTTTTTTTCTTAAACTAGTGCTGGAATCAAGACCATTAGGGTGAGGGAACCCTCGTAAGATTAGGATCGATATACAAACCAGACTGTTCCGAGTCAGACAAAAAACCTWGAGCTGGATTCCACAAAGGTCGTGGTTTTACCGGTTAATTTGACTTTTCGGTTAGACTGTTAAGTGATCAGTTCGCAAGAACTACTGTCAAATAACAACCCAAAAGGCTGAGCCACCGGTCCAACCATCTGGTGGTCCAATATGTAATGCTCTTGTGACGTGGTGTTTCACCATTGAGAGGGTTGACATGGAATCGACAGTGGGCCCTCCGGTCTAGACAGGAGATTTGTGCATAACCACAACTCTACTACTGTCTATCATTGAGGAATACTGGTGATTCGAAAGACGCAAATGGAAAGAGTGCAAGGTTAGGTCGGCAGTTGGCAAAAACTTTTTTCTTGTTCCTATCCCCGTAACGAAAGTCCACTGCCGAGATAAATCCAACACTGGGCCCGGGCCTGGGCCGATGCTCCCTAATTGAACTTATCCCCAACTTCTATCCTGTGTACAAAGCTTTAACCAAGTAGGGGTTCTACACTTCTACTATGATTATTCAAAATATGGTATAAGAAAAATTTACAGCCAATCAATCAGTATCATACTGTGGGTGACCAATGAGGTGGTATTCATCAAAATTTATTGGGGTGTTTTGATTAGTCAAAGTTCTGGTATCATGTTTTCACGGTATCATAGATTTTTCTCTAAAACAAATTATATAAAGTGGATATTTGCGTTGAAAAGCAGATTTATGTTTGGATTAGTACAAGTCATAAAAGTTAAATTTAAATATCATATATCATATATGATTAATTACTTGCACACATGCATGGAACGTACACTTCTATTAATATATAATAAAATATCCTTTCCACGTATATGAATTGTTTGTCTTCATTTAAAATGAGCAAAGACAAGAAGATGACTCTCTAGTCTCGTTTGCTATGTAATGGCCATGGCCCATGGGCCATTCCTTCCAAATTCAGCGGTGTAAAACATAACTCATCTACCTCATGCTCAACTTTCGGCCCCATAGGTGATAGGAGATCCAAATATAAAGTATAGAGAGAGAGAGAGAGAGAGAGAGAGAGAGAGAGAGAGAGAATACTCATTACTAGACTTGGCAATTGGGTTGGGTTATCAAGTGTTGAACCCTAACCCTAGATGTTCGGGATAGGGTTGACCCATGGGTCAATTCAGGTCATCCCACAAAATAATTAAACTTTTAAAAATAAAGAAAAAATACATGAAAATGCCAAAATTAAAAGAATTAACCTTAAAATTCCAAAAATAAAATAAAAAACTTGAATATTTAACAATTCAAAGAGTAAACAATAAGGGTAAAGACTAAATAGTAAAAATTAAATAGTGGAAATTTCTAACAATGCATAAATAGTTTCAATTAAACCTAGTCGGGTCAACGGATTGACCCATAACCCAATCCAAACCAACATTTTTTTTTTATATTGGGTTGAGTCGGTTCATTCTCATATTCAAAATAGTTAAACATAAGACCCTAACCTTGTTTTTTCAGATTGAATTAAGTCAGGTTCATGAATTGGATCAACTTTTTACCAGGTCTACTCATTACTCAATAGTTCACATAGCTAAACTTTGGACTAATCCTGAGCCCATTGAATAAAGAACAGTGTATATGTTCAGTTTGGAAAGAGTATAAACGCCAATATATCTAATACAAATACATATAAAATAATATAAAATGTAAGATTTTATGCTATATGTTTATATTTATACCTCGAATGACTGCAAAATAAAGTAAAAAGAATATAATATAAATACATACAAAATAATAAAAAATACAAGATTTTAAACTCTAATTCTCTACCTAATTGTATTTGTACTCATGCTGACGTGAGCCTCAGTAACTTGTATATATGTTATGTGGGGTGTCTGGCAGTAAAGATTGCTCAAAAAAAGAAAAATGACTCTCAAACTTGAGTTTAGAAATGATATAACTCGGTCAAGATTGACGCACTTGACTCGATGATAAGTCAAAAAGCAGAGGACAGAGTACGAGTCTTGACACTGAAGCTGAGTGCCCTATAGACTCGGACCATTTTTTCAATTATTTAAAGCGAATGCTAAGATTAAAAATTAAAATTGGGGCTGGAGAAATAAAGATCAGTAGAGACAAAATTGGATATCAGAAAAGATTAAACAAAAGTTATTATTAATTAGCTCTAATTTTGACTTTTACCAAACACTCTTCTGAAACTATTTAACCATGCAAATGTCCGCTTCAACCTCTATCTCTCTCGCTGTATCTACAATAAAAAAAATAAAAAGAGAAGGAAATTTAAAGAACAAGAATCGAAGTTTATTTACTGATATCTCTCTCGAGCCTCAACTCCTCGCATTCTCTTCTCCATCCTTTTCGATTCTGTGCGCCAGATTTCGGATCGGAGAGGAGAATCCATGGTTGAGACCAGGCGAAGTTCGGCTTCATCGAAGCGTTCTATTCCGCCTGCAGGAGCGCCTTGTCTGCCCAACGGCAAGCGTTCTAAGGTATTCCTTATGGTTAGGGTTAGGCTAGGGCTTGGTACCTATTCAACTATGCTTCTTCTTGTAGATGGTGTTGGTGGTGGTGCTTGGGGTCGATGGGTTGAGCTTCCGTAGCGTTTTTGTTGATTTTGATTTGATTGGTTTTGCAGGTGGCGGAGGCATCTTCCTCGATCAACGGGRTTCCTTGTGTTTTGCCTGTTGAAACCCTAGGTTCGTCAAAAGAACCAGGTTCTGAATCGCATGACCAGGAGGGTCGCTTCTCTGATCCGTCTGTTTGCGATCCTTCCAAGGAATTCGATAGCTGCGATGCGGTTATGCTGGAGAAACCTCAAGATGTAAATGGAGAAGGAGAGACTTTGGTGTCACCGTCTTCTATAGGTTGGATCTTGATAAATTTTATGTTGATTATCGGTTTCCTTTATTTTTTCACCTTTTGTCTTTTTTTCAACTTTCTTTGACGTTATTGATTTTTTGGATTGTATTATTTTGGGGTTAAGGAGCACCTGCCATGGAGGACGATAATGTCAATAATGCGGTAATGAATCGAGCGAGGAAACGATCAATAAAGTCTCGCGCAAAGGTTGCATGGGGAAAGCTTCTTTCGCAGTGTTCCCAGGTGGGTTTTCATGATCCTATCTCTGATTTGTTTATGGCTTCGCTAGTTTAATTTGTGACTTTTGATGGATAGCTTTTCTATTCGCTTTTAGGAGGTGTTCGTGTGGTTTTTTCTGTTCTTTTCTTTTTTGGCGGGGAGGGGGGGGTAGTTGGTTTTTGCGTGATGCTTCTTTTGGACCTAGGTTTTCTGGTTATGGGTCTGAATGTTTTCGCCATCTGATCATGTACTTTTCCCCTAAACTTTGCATTCTTACATCTTTCACTTCAGGATTTATTTTCGTTGTTGGAGACTAATATTTAAGATGGATAACTTACAGTGGGATGTGGAAATGACCCTTCCAGTGAGGTCTGTAGTTCTTGATGAGAAGATCTGTCGTTACTAGACAAAGAGACTGAAATAGGATATAATGTCGTAATAAACTGGTACGAAGGGAAGGTTCTTGTCATGAAAGCCTCACAAATTTTTTTTTTTTTTTTTTGTTGTTGCTGCTCTGATCAGAGGCATATGTGCCTTTAGGATCAGCCATGAATTAGCTCATGACATGAATAATGTAGGCCATATTTTTGCTAAAACTTGTAAATAGTTGGGTTGGATATGGAGGGAACCAATTATCCTCCATTAAATTAGAAGGAAGTATCATTTGTATTGGAGTTCATCGAAGAAGTCACCATCCCAAACAAAGTTTGATATTAAGGTCTATGGTAAGCCTTAAAATGCTTGAAACCCCATCAAGTCACTGATTATTACTTAGAAATGTTGGTTTTTCCTCATGAATATTGTGATGGACAACATTATCTCTTCTTAAATGCAAGCTTAAAGATTGAAACATAAACCAGTTAAACTGAAGGAATCTTGAATCTTGATGCAGAGTAAGAATTTATTATCACAAGAGATCCTCCAAAAACTAACAATAGAATACGAGTTTCTCTATCTATGAAACAAATATGGTAAAAACATTTTTCTTGTGAAAGTGGGGGACTCGAGAGCAACTTGAAGGTGGTGATAGAGTGGTTACAAACAAGAAGCATGGGGATATGAATTTACAGGCGGACCTTGATAGAAATTAGAACACTTACCCTTAAGTGGGTAAGGAGGACAACAGATGGTTTGGCTGGCACTCTAGCCAATCAAGGGATTAACAGGGAAGTTTTATTTTTTGGGCTGAGTTGACTGAGTTGTAATTATTTTCTTGCTGGGGTTCAGGTTCCCTAAGTCCAGGGCTGGAACCTTTGTACCTATCATTAATTTTAATTTTAATCAAAGTTATCATTTCCTATCAAAAAAGGAAAACACTTTTGTTGTGAAAGGATGGCTAGTTTGCCAAGTAGGCCTAGGCACTGCATGAAAATTAATGCAGCTGCTCTGCTGTTCCTTGAAATGCCTAGGGTACCTCTCTTAGCCAAGCATGGAGCACATTGTTGCCTTGGCAATGCATTGATAACAACGATCATATTCATATGGGCATTACATGGTTTACAATTTTGATTTTCAAGAAAAATTTATTCCTTCACAAAAGAAAATCTTGTATGAAGTTGGACCAGAAATTTTGAAATGCTGTAAAATGTTCCAGTTTGGGGAAGTATCAAGTATGGAGGACAAAAATGCAGAACGTTTCTATAAGGCCTTTTTTCTTTGTTCAATGAAGCATGGACATGTCAGTAGCAGACCTATTCAATTGACAAGAATTGCATCCAAAAGTTAAATATTACTGTTGTTGTCCCTTTCTGAAAGAAACAAGTGAAAAAAAAAGCACATTTTAAATGATTTTCGTCAAAAAATCAGTTTTCAGTGTTTTATCTCAATGTGGAATGCTACTGATAAAACAAATCTCAATGTGGAATGCTTTTATTAATTCTTTTTCATGGATTTCTTAGCTCAGACTCCCTTGCATCGCCTGGTGCTCTGGAGTGTCTTCCTTTCATCACTGGATGATTCATATATCTTTATATTGGTTTCAAGTTCTGTTAGGACATGCATGATTTATGGATAAACACATTCCTCTCTAAATATGCATTTTGTGTGTCATGATCTTTGTCTTGGTTTTGTTGGCAAGGGCATCTTTCTGTAGCAGGAATAGTGGTTTGTAATTTTTCTTGTTTTAATAGAATACTGATCCTTTGTCAGCTACAGGATCCTGTTGTTCAATTCTGAGTATTCTACTTAATGATCTCAAAACATTGTTATTTTTTGTTTTTTGTTTCCTCCAGAACCCTCACTTGCTTATGTGTGGTTCTCCATTTACTGTTGGTCAAAGCCAACAATGCAACTTGTGCTTGAGAGATCCATCTGTCAGTACGGTTCTTTGCAAGCTGAAGCACTTAGAGGTATAATGTTGGTTTACCCTGTATCCTTCTGTTATTCAACTAATGTGGCCTTTGAATCATTTAAATATAGATTTCATAATAGTGGTTCTTGTTTTATTTTTACAGCGAGGAGGCACATCTATTGTGTTGTTAGAGATCTCAGGAAGCAAAGGTGTTGTCCAAGTAAATGGAAAGGCGTTTGGGAAAAACTCCAGCACAATACTCAGTGGAGGGGATGAGTTGGTTTTTAGTTCAACTGGTCAACATGCATATGTATCCTTTTCAATAGTTTCAGGGGGAGGTGATGCTGTTCTTCTATCATAGGATTGAGTGCTTGCCCTTTCCTTCATGTTGTGTCTTCTGCACATGTGTGCACATTAATGTTGTCAAAATCTTACAATTTGCGATACGATTCACAATTTGAACCGTGAATCCCAAGGGTTTCGATTCGAATCTTATGTCCGAATTCTTTTCTGCAAAAATCATACGATTTTTGTTTGGATCCTACAATTTGATTCATAAATCTTATGATTTATACGGTTCTGATTCCAATAAATTCAATTAAAAATTAGTTCTCTACTTTGTTATGTTTTTGTTTATATTTAGTTTTGTCAAGGGGGATTTTCTTTTAAGCCCTTACTAGAAAATGAATTATTTGCATTATTTAAGACTAGAAATTGAGTTATTTTTCATCATATGTAGGTTAAAGAGCCATTGCATGTGGATTTGTTTGACTTTCAATTCAAACTTGATCATATCATCTTAGGCTTATATTGTATAAGTGGTAAATTCTATTATTTTAGGTACATATATGGTATATATAGATTAAAAATAGGTAAAGTCACTTTTCTATATATATTTACCCTTTTAATATATCTATATTTAATTTTTTGACAAGTTTATAAAAAATAGAAACTCTTACGATTTACGATATGATTCACAATTCGATTCGATTCAACCTTCTCTACGATTTACGATACGATTACGATTTTCAAAACATTGACATGCATGCACATGTGAAGCTTCATTGTTGAATGGAATCATATACAATTTTGTAAGAGTACATTCCTTTATGTATTATCAGATTTTCCAGCAACTCACAAATGACAGCTTAGCCTCACCACTGTTCCCATCTTCAGTTAGCATACCAGGATCCCAGAGTGTTCCAGTTAAAGGAATACACTTTGAGACCCGATCACGAGACCCCTCTGCTGTTGCAGGAGCATCAATATTAGCATCTCTGTCAAATCTTAGAAAAGATTTATCACTTCTTCCACCACCTGCCCAAACTGGTGAAGGAGTACGACAACATGATCTAGAGAGGCAGATGTTGCCATCTGGTTGTGAAGATGGCCTTATGCCAAACATTAAGGTTACTTGCCATGGTAGAAAAGATATTTCCAAACATAACGAGGAGGCTGGTATTTCTTCTAGTGAAAAAGATACTGTGGTCATATCCTCAGATACTGCTACCAACAATCGTATGCATCTTGACAGCACTGGCTTGGGTGCTCATCTTGATGCAGAAATTGGGGCAATTTCTGGGACAAATTATGAATTAAGGCCACTGTTGCGGATGCTGGCAGGATCCTCTTCTCCTGACTTTGATTTAAGTGGGAGCATTTTAAAAACAATTGATGAGCAAAGGGAAATTAAGGAACTCCTTAAGGGCTTTGGTCAACCAAGAAATTTGCCCTCAAGCAAGAAACAGGCATTCAAAGATGGCTTACAACAAAGAATTCTCAGTTCTAATGACATTGATGTCTCATTTGATAATTTTCCATACTATCTAAGGTAAAAAAATGATTTTGGTATTTACTTTCTTTGTATGTGTGAGCGGTGCCCTACTAACTTGAGACGACCTTGGTACCATCAGTTTTTACTTCATTTCATGTTAGGGTTATCATTGACTCCACAAGTTTTTGGTATTTCCTTACTTATTGATATGTTGCTTAATTTTAGAAATATTTAACCATAGAGATTTATTTGTGGAGCTGGTTTCTTGCATGTTTGCTCAGCCTTCTCTGTTTGGAAGCATAGTATATGTTTTCTGTCATAAATTAGTTCATCAATATTTTTGTTAAAATTTTACTTCTATTCTCAAGGTGCCAACCAGCTGGTTGGTAAGGTCTCCTGCTGGTCGTAGTGGAGACTTGGGATCGAATCCCGCCTGCACCTGGGTTGAGGGATGGGCTACCCCCGTTGTGTAACCCTTTAGAAGATATCAAAAAAAAATTTACTTCTATTCATTAGAGATATTTCTTATTGTAATTATGTCCCATCCTCACCTTTGGTCTAAAAATGTTGTAGTAATTGCTTGAGTTCCTTTATGCCTTGGGTACCACTCCTAGTAATAAGGATATTACCAATACAAACCACTAACATAATCTTTCTAGAGGTAATGTAGCAACTTAAAAAGAATGATTAACACAAATATTTTGTCATCCCAACTAGGGATGTCAACAAGTTGGGGTTTGGTTCATCTTGAACCCAATAAAGCAAGGATGATTAACACAAATATTTTGTCATCCCAAGTAGGGATGTCAACAAGTTGGGTTTGGTTCATCTTGAACCCAATAGAACAAGGATGGAGCACCGAACATGACCCAACCTGCCATAGTACACCTACACTCATCAGAGACTATTTATTAATATGTTTTTTTTTTTGATAAATAACAGAAACTTTTATTAAGAATAAGAGTAAGAAAGAAAGATACAACAGGAAGGAGGGGTAAAATCTCTTAACCCTCCCTAAAAGTAAAGACTTCAGATTACAGCATTGTCCAAAAAAGGTTAGCTCTTCCCACCTCTTGTTTGGCCAAAGAGTCTTCCAAAGAATTGGCACTCCTCTTAGTCCACTGAAACTGGATGTCCATGTTTCGAGATAGCTGTTTAACTTTCTTTTTCTCATTTAAGTACTTCCACAAACTGAATTCTTCCTTCTGTAGCCAACTAATAGCCAGCCTAGAGTCACCTTTCACCATCAGTTTTCTGATATTCAGCTGCTGTCTCTTTTAATCCCTTCCAAGACTGCTAATATTTCAGCTCTCAGAAATCCCCCCACCAATAGTACTCAAATACTGTTATGGGCCCGGGAATAGGATCTCGTCATGGGTCAGTCCATGGGGAAAACCTCCTGTTTTCCCTTGTTCCTCCCCTTTCTTGCAGAACCTATCTTGGCGTCCTAAAGGGTGATTTGTCCAAGAGATCACCTAACTCTCCTTTCACTCTTCCTTGACTGAAATTCGATGATCTTATTCAATATTCTCAGCTCCTTAAATAGGAGATTACAAGAGATAAGAGTCCTACTTTTAGGAAGACTCCCTACTAATCTATTGAACTGATAAGATAAGATAAGACTGAACTAATAAGATAAGATAAGACTCCCTTAATCTATCCTACTGAACTGATAAGATAAGATAAGACT